TGTTACTTATTGCTACTTTCTGCCATAGACCCAGCCACGTTGACAGTGTAGGGGACGAATCCTTTCCTATCTGTGACGGACACCACCTCTTGTAAGGAAGTACATGACGATACCTGCTGATTTAAGGACAGGCAGTGCTCGTGTTAGCAAGACTCACTCTCCAATTAGCCTGAAAATCCACTGCTGTGGATTTTTTGACTCTCGTATTTACGGCAAACCTCACGTTGATACAATGGGCTGTTTGACAGGCAGGTTAGATGATGGTCCTTGATGTGAGCACTGATCTGAACACTGAGAACAGCCTGCAGTGCCTGCAGCCCTGTGCCAGTAGCTGAAGTGCATCCGATATTAAAACGTGAGGGGAAACGAGGAAGCCCCTTGCCAGAGCACCTTGCTGAGTGCATTAAAACCCTGCCTCAATAATTCATAAAAGCTGTTCCCTCGGCTGGTTATATACGTGCGGGGAGGGGGGTAATAAAACATCTCAGAGCTGGCCTGCCAGGATAATTGAGTGGCTAGTTAAATCTCCCAACAGCATTAATCAATAATGGGGCCCACAGTGTAAATAAATCCAGAACATAATATGACAGGGCTTTGGAAGTGCCTGGAAAGCGTTTCCTTCTCCCCGGTGCTTAAGTAACGCTAGGTACCGTAGCCCTCTACAACCAATATTGCAAACAGTCAATATTATGAGTTCCTTGCAGCGAAGCTCAAATATTCAGTTTTTCCAGCTGTTACTGCATGTTCAAATGTCACCTAGCTGTCCAAGTCTCTTAGATGAAGACTTGTGTGACAAGGGATCTCTGTGTGTGACATGGGAGAGCTGCTGACTGTGAAAGGTGGGGACCTGATTTTCAACTCTGTCACTTAATTCAGTGTCTCCAGTTTTACTGATCAAAAGCTGCTGTCAGGAGTGGGGATCCCTCCTGAAGACAAAAAGCATTTTACCAGGGTATGAGAAGTTGTCGAGTCTTGAGAGAGGCATGAGCAAATGCTCTTGACATAGCTTACACCACTGCTGTAAACTTACGTACGTTTTCAGGACTCCAAATTAATTTACTTGTTCAGCCTCTCTAGAAATGCAGCACGATGCTGTTGTGTTCAAAATGCAGGTTTTCTGGTGTGATTTTGATGCAATTCTATCAGTCTGTATCTTGCCCACCTGTAACTGAGCCAAAATCAGCATCTCAAAAAGACTGGATTAAGAGATGTAGCTTTAATTTTTCATTAAATTCAGGTCACTGCTTGTCTTCAATTCCATTAGTGCTAATACTTCTTTTACCAGTTACAGATATTCATGGACCTATGCGCCTTCCTTTCACCAAGCTCATTCTCAGCCAAGCATGGCACATTCAGGCTCTTTACTCCTTCCTGATGAACCTGGCAAATATTCCAGCATTCAGGTTAATGTTGGCTCTGTCCAGACATTTGTGGTGACTGTGCTGAGCTGTTTGCGGAAAGTGAATGTTTAACTGGTTTTAACGTGTCTGAGTTTGAAATAGATTTTGAACCGCATGAATACAGTATCTGCTTTTAGTCCAGATGTGCTCTGAAATCAAGCCATGC